GAGAGAGAGACAGAGAGACAGAGAGGAGAGAGGAGAGAGAGAGTGAGAGAGAAAGAGAGAGAGCGAGAGAAAGAGAAAGATAGGGAGAGACAGACAGACAGAGAAACAGAGAGACAGAGAGACAGACAGAGAGAGACACGGAGAACGACACAGGGAAAGAAAGAGAGAAATGAGGTGGATAAGAAAATAAGCAGCCTCTCTTCTCGGATATTGGCATTGGTGATCACAGCTCCTGCCTACGTCAGCCAAACAAACAAACAGACAGACAGACTGGTAAGACTTGGTAAGAGGCTGTACAAATGCCGATACAGGGGAGGCCATGCCCTGTCATACGCTAGCAGTCGTGGCATCTCGTGTGAGCTCCGGACAAGCGTTGGGCTTCGACAAACTTCAGCCACCGCACTGCAAAGAAAACATAGCTTGAATTGAAGACATCGTCGGTCTGGACTGAGGGAGTTGCAGCTTCACTCGCCATCTGGCGTACTGGATCTCAAAGTCTTTCTTCGTGGTCTGCTCTCCGGCTCGGGGGGTCGTCGGATGGTCCTCGAGCCGGCAGCCAAGCTCGAAGTATGCCTGCTGAATCGTGACATGGATTTTCAATCCAGCGCCTGGCTCCGCCCGTGCCGAAAAGCATGGGCCGACCATCGCCGGTACTCACGAGTTGCCTGAGGTGCCGTCACTACCCTTCAAGCATGTGTGATCGCCGTTACTGCACCAGCCTTGCCGATTCTGATCTGGTACTCTCGACGATTGAACCGTTTGGCCCATCCTGCAGGAGGCATTCACATTCACCGCTTCGAAAGCCGACAAGCCAGTGCCCAGATCGCCTTCACGAGTTAGCTCTCCAGCCGCGTCTTTACTAAGCTTCACCTGAGCTTGAGGGGGGCATAACAATGCGACATCCGCTTGTTAGTGTCAAGGGCCCGGCAGAAAACACCACCGCACCTCCCCGACTCTTATGAGCCGTCCAGCTTTGATCGATGTACCACCTCACTGGGCTCGAGCCCATGCGAGTATCGCCAAGATCGGTTGGCTCTGTGTCGGCCTTGCGGCTGCAGAAACGAGCACAGAGTTCAGCTGAGTCCAGCTTCGATGCCTGAAAACAGTCTGACATGTAGCCAGCTTCTGGCTCCCCACCAGAGGATCCTGCATCGTTTACATCCAGTGCCCATGCTTTCGCAAGCCAATCCTACTCATATCAGCACCTGGCAGCTTCGGCACAGGCCGAAGATGGACAGCGGACAGCCGCCCTTGTGGACCTCCGGTTCATGCCACACGGCATGAGCAAGTCAAGCGCCAACATGTTCTGGGGACTGCACGAGACACAGGCGGCGGTGTCGAATGCGATGCGGCTATGCGCCCTAAATGGCCACAACCAAGCAGGCGGACTTCCGCAATCCATCCGTTGGCCTTCTGGGGGATCTTGGCGCAAACGACCTTTTGTAAGGCACATCCGAGTGCTCAAATGATTTCGAGTTATCTGCACTCGCCTCGCAGCGGCTGGAAAGGCGGGCTACGCCTCGGACAAACAACATCCACCTAATCACCCATCAATAGATCGATTTTCCTGGTTCAAAAGACGTTCAACGTTACCTATCGTGGAGGATTCAAGGATTGAACTCGAGATATCCACAAGTCTGTATGAAGTGAGTTGCTTTAAGGGGGTCTACAACTCCAGTCTGCTTCGGCCGTGGAGAATCGGTGCTATTCGCTGGCACATGCACATGACGTATGAGCCGTCATTTTACGAACAGTGTACGTGCTCCCACCTCAAGTTTTCAGGTTCATGCGATCTTGAGACATACGGTCGTTGTTCGGCCTCGCCATCGTATGTTCTGACCCCCTTCTGTTTGCTGACACATCGTCTCAGCGCCTGCCTCGAAAGTCCGTTAAACTCTAAAGTTGGTGCGCGGTCTGTGTATTTGCAAGCTCTAGAAAAGGCTTGGATCGTTACCGTATCGCTTAAGTATGCTCTCGGTTGGACATGCACGTGGCCCCGTCAAGTTTTTCCTGCGAAAAAGGCTGCCACGGTCAAGCTGGGATTGCAAGCAAGCTCTGTCCAACATCAGTCCGCGTTTCCATAGCACGTCCGCTCTCTCGTTCGGTTCCGGTCGGGACAGTCGTCGTTTCAAAGGTAGGCCCTGTGCGCATCTAACACTGCCTTCTTTGACCATGGCAAGAAAGGCCTGATTGCAGACTCGTGCTGTCTACTAAACATGAAAAGATTATGCCACTCAACCCTCCAAGATCGCTCCCAGAAAATTTGGTTCCCGGGTCGTGGCTCATCATAGCTTTCGAATTTGTGATTCGGCTTGCTTCTAACTGCAACCATCCTTGCTCTTGCCGGGATCTGATAATGACCGGAGTGGAAGACCTGACTAATTAAGGCCTTCCGTTTTCCTAATGCCAGACTAGCTGACAAAGTGATGATGAGCGATGCATGCAAAGGGAAAACAGAACAGAGACAGGGGGCATCCAGCGGAGTAGCTGAAACAATGGCGACAGGAGCGCAGCAACCATTTGGCTGGAACTTCAAACCCTCAGCTGCAAAGGCCCGAAATGCAGCTTGGTACCATGGCTGGGATTGGCTGCGGCAGCTGCTGCCAACGTGTTTGTTGCAGAGGTCACACAAGAGCCCTAAAGGAAGCCTTCCTGCACAACAAAAAA